CCCCCACACACACACACACACACACACACACACACACACCACCTGCTCTGAATAGAACTGTCATTTCTAACCCAAACCCAGAGGCCGGCTAATTTGTGGCCAGGTCGGTATCAGACTTTTGATTGCGTCAGCGGATGCATGCAGCTGACGATCCAATTATATGATAACATGGCTTGCCATAATATCACCTGTCGAACGCGGCCATTTGACCACGAGCTGACCAGCCTTAAAAGAAGTTCAGTTAAGCTTCAGATGAACTACTGCCAGCCGACGACCCAAACAGGTGAGATCACAAAATATCCGACATGTCAGAGCAGGGTCCATGCCTGAATAATGCAGATTGCAGCAGAAGCAGGGATTTAATGCTCTTTGACGGCCATGAAAGAACAAACACCCCCTCAGCTCCGATCTTCTGCCCCCTCAGCCGCATGCGTCCGCTGACCGTTTGTAAATAAATAAGCAGTCAAAGCTTAATTAAAAATGTCGGGGGGTGTTCGGGTTCAGACACGTAATTACTGTTAATTTGCTGGAAAAGGGTAGAGTGCCCTCTCTGGGTCAGGGAGGAGGTCCTGCCCCAAGTGGAGGAGTTCAAGTATCTCGGGGTCTTGTTCACGAATGAGGGAAAAATGGAGCGTAAGATCGATAGACAGATAGGTGCAACGTCTGCAGTGAAGCGGGCGCTGTACCGGTCTGTCGTGGTGAAGAGAGAGCTGAGTCAAAAGGTGAAGCTCTCAGTTTACCGATTGATCTACGTTCCTACCCTCATCTATGGTCATGAGCTTTGGGTTGTGACCGAAAGAATGAGATCTCGGATACAAGTGGCCGAAATGAGTTTTCTCCGCAGGGTGTCTGGGCTCTCCCTTAGAGATAGGGTGAGAAGCTCTGTCATCCTGGAGGGACTCAGAGTAGAGCCGCTGCTTCTCCACGTTGAGAGGAGCCAGTTGAGGTGGCTCAGGCATCTGGTTAGGATGCCTCCTGGACGCCTCTCTGGTGAGGTGTTCCGGACACGTCCCACCGGGAGGAGGCCCAGAGGAAGACCCAGGACACGCTGGAGGGACTCTGTTTCTCGGCTGACCTGAGAACGCCTCGGGATTCCCCCGGAGGAGCTGGCCCAAGTGGCTGGGGAGAGGGAAGTCTGGGCCTCCCTACTTAGGCTGTTACCCCCATGACATGACCCCGGTTAAGAGGAAGAAAATGGAGGGTGGATTTGGGGGGTTTTTTTTTCTTTTTTTCAGATTTTTTGGACCTGAATGCAACTCCATCTCTGAACAACTCACAGCATTGTATTTGTTTGGTGTGTGTGAGCTCTTACTCCAAACTCAGAGTGGAGACGCCCAGAGAGACTCCGGAAGCGAACTTGGTGAAGAAAACGTAGAATGAATAGAAGAGCGCTTCGTGCCCGGTGGAGTCGGGGTTTTGTACTTTGAAATCGTCAAGAACGTCAGGCAGCATGGACCTAAAACGTTACGACAAACTTATTAAGATTTGTTCTGGGCACTTTATGATGGGAAAACATTTACATTTCATCACATGAAGAGTTTGAGAGCCTTACCAGGGCAGCAGAAAAGCTGAAGCAACTCCAACCCCAGCGATGAACGAGACGACGTAGGTGACGTAGAGGTTGCTCTTCACGCACACGACCAGGATCAGGAAGGGAATGACAGACTGGAGACACAAACAAACAGGTTTACATCTCAAAAGAAGGGGTTTAAAATTAGAGTTCCTAAAACTCCCCCAAACATAAAAACCTCTCATTTCCTTTTAGCTACTTGTGATTTAAAGAAGACTTACCATGGAGCCAACATAAACGGACATCTTCTTCCCGAAGCGGGTCAAGAACCACTGCCAGAACGGGACGGCTATCGTAGCGGAGAGCTGGAAAGAACAAAGAAGCACATCCAGGTTGGGTTCATCAAACTGTTCTTACAAAACAAGTATTTAGAAACGTCACCTTGATGAGACTAAACTTAAAGCCAGATGGTTTTCATTCTACTTTTACGATTAGGTTCAAGTCTTTTGTTTGATGAATCCTATAGCTAGGGTTGGCTTGGGTTTCCTGAGCTCTCCTTTAGTTCTGCTGCTACAGGCTTAAGACTGCTGGAGGACAAACGGACCACATTTCCTCTCTCTGCTGCTCTCTTTACTGACTACCTGTTTATTTGTAATTATTTTGATCTTAACATGATTTGTAGCTTTCCTCCTATAGGAGGTAGATCTGGACCTAGATCTGGACCTAGATCTGGACCTGTCATTCTGTGTTCGTCTGTCTCTCCTTCCTGTCCTCTCAACCAGCTGGTCAAAGCAGATGGCCGCTTGTCCTGAGCCTGGTTCTGCTGGAGGTTTCTTCCTGTTAAAAGGAGTTTTTCCTTTCCACAGTCGCCATTGTGCTTGCTCAGGATGGGAGACTGTGATGAAGTGAAGACAACAAGTCTGCTGCTTCCTTAAATAGAGAACTTTAATTGTTGGCTTTTGAGAGAGTGCATGGTTGTTTGTCTCCATGTGTCCCTGTAATGGACTGGACACCTGTCCAGGTGTCCCCCACCTCTTACACAGTGATGATGGATATGGGCACCAGTGACCCCTGCAGCCCGAAAAAGGAAGAAGCAGGTAAAGATAATGGATGGATGGGAATGTTTCTGTTCAGTGTCCTGAGATGACTTCTGTTGTGATTTGATGCTAAATAAACTGATTTGAATTGAACTGTTCTAGTGAGAGAGCGTCTCAAAATACGTTTGAGAACACGACGTGCTGCAGCCGGCCTTCTGCCAAACAACAGAAAGAGTTGAAGCTGTTGCAGCTCTCCCCAAAGCACATTCGAGCTAAGCAGGACTCTGCAGAAGTCGTGATGCTCTGCAGGTGACCGAGCGCACGCTCTGATGCGCCACTGAAACAAAAACTAAATGACTGTCCAAGTGTCATTTTCCACCTCTTCCTGTGGACGCAGTAATCTGGAGCTCAGCGAGATAAGCTGACCACATGGGACTCTTTATCTGAAAAGTCCATTTCTCTAGAAAGTGGTTCATGAGGTTCCTTCCTGCAAGGAAGTGTGTTGTTGACATCATCTGTAGCAGCCAAGCCCTCTTCAGAACTGGACCCCGCCTGGATCATGTCAACAGACTTCTGTCTCTCACATCTCGTCTCGTTACATTCAACCTTTTTAATCCAAGAACTTAAAGGGAAGAAATTCAGAGGCACGGGGTTCTTACAAAAGTCTTAAATGGATTTGTTCACGTTTTATCCTAATGTGAACTTTTCAGCTCAGTCAGGCATTTTATCAAATGACAGAAGAGGATTAAGATTCTTTGATTATCCTGACTGACTAAATATAATAATATACTTACAGTATGCCCATGTTGGCTCCGTAATCCTTTCCATAAAGTAAAGGCTCAGTAACCTGTCGACCCTCTCTAACCTGGACTTGGGACATCTGTGAATTAATTGGCTTGAATTCCTGTCGGGATCTGCTGAGTGGGTTTATATCAAATCAAGGCACAGAACAAGAGCTTCTGTACAGTCTGTGGGAATGGTGTGGCATTCAGGGACACTGGAAACAGCCCAGCAGAAGCCATGCTTTATAACCACGTACAGAGCTGCCCCTTGTGTTCAAGACAATTTATGTGCTCGCCTCGGGAGAGGAAGCTTTTGTCTGGACTTTTAGGCTAATGTCGCTTCCACAGAAACAGGCTGCTCGGGGTTTCATCTGCCCAGGGATCAGGCCGACCAGTTTGTGTGAAAGTGCCACCTGAGAGCGAGTGCGTGCTCACCATGATGACCAGCAGAATGTTCTGAAAGTCTTTTCTGAAACCCAGCGTGGAGCTGCAGAACAGGGCGAAGTTTCCCTCCAGGAGCTGCAGGGGTGAAACACGGAGACTCGGTTACATTTTACACACACACAAAGAAAATCCTGTCTGGGAACACAAACCAGCACAGTGTACTCCCAACATCAAACATTAGGGATGCACAATATTGGATATTTGGCCGATATCCGATACCAATACTGATATTTTCCCCTAGACCTACTTACAGAGAGTACATATGTTTCTCTGCTGTGGAATTAAAATACATTATTCTGCATGGTCTTTGTCAGTTTGGCTGATACCAAATCCAGATGCTAAAAAGGGTCTGAAAATGATGCAACACTTGAACTTGGATTATGTTTAATGTCAAATTTATTCATGACATTTACTCTAACACAATGAAAACACTCGAACAGTACAAACTTGTCAATTTTCACAAATTTAAACTCAACCTGTTCACAAGTGTAGATGAACAGATGCTCATCTGTTCATCTACACAAGCGACAAGTGAAAAGCTCATAATTAGTAGTGCATTAATAGATATATTTGACAGTCTCTTAAATTAAACTTAAAACAGAAGTCTTTTCCATCAGTGAGTTGTTTTGATGGAATGGACGATTTCCGATATTTAACTTTATCGCTAATATCAGCCGATACCGATACCATGCCGATAATATCGTGCATCCCTATCAAACAAAGTGAACAGGCTGAACGTGGCTTTAGGTGTGTCTGAGATTATACCCACCATAAACCCCAGTGAGGTAAAGAGGAAGACCATGACCAGCTTGGCATAGGGTCCGTGCCCCACCACCAGACGAATCCCTTGGAAGAAGGGCATGGGCTCAGTCCTGATCTGACACGACTCTGGAAACAGAAAAATGAGCCAAACATGCAGATTTAATCCACTCCACAGATAATTACACCCTTCCAGACCTCCTTTAAGCTCCTCCCTTTTCATTTCTCTGTACACGTTTCATAATCAGCTGCTTGCTGGACATTTTACTGCCCACAGGACTTCACATTCGGCTGCTGCTTCTCAGCCCACGGTCGCCCCATACTGCGGCTCCTCGTTGGTCAGTAATGTCACAATCACACGACAGACACGAGTTTATCTGTGGTCAAACCAGGAGCTAGCCCTGACTAACACGTTTATGGGACTGAAAGAGGGTTTTTGTTTGAGAAGACAGAATTGGAGGACAACGGATGGATTAAGATCAGCTGACAGATGGAATCTCACCTTTTTGCTCTCTAACTCCAAAAAACAGGACGATGGCACAGAGGATGTATATCAAGCAGATGACACCTGATGCAATCATGTAGGCGTTTCTCTGTGAGGAAGCAACAAAAACTATTTAATATAATATATATACTATACTATATATACTATATACTAATATTTAGGTTTTTATTTGTTTAGTCAATTGCAATTCAGGTGGTTTAATAAACAACTGTTTACCGTGTGCTGCAGGGAGATGCCGTGATCCGACACGTTGTGGTCGACTAACGAGCCGTTGCTCGTGTCTGCCACGATCTCACCAGGTCCGGGGAGGCAGGGAGCGTTGGCCATGCCCACGATCTGACCCTGGATGGCTGTGCCAAGAACGGTGCCCAAAACCTCCACCGTCATCCCTGGAAGCAGACGTTCAGGAGAGGTGACAACGAGTCATCGCTCGGTCAGGTGACCCAACGTTCGGATGAAGTTTCTACTCACTGTACGCCGTGGCAGAGTCCCTCTCTTTCTGCTCCGAGCTAATGAACATGGTGAGGGCAGAGTACGGCACGTGGAAACACTGATGAAAGCAACAACCAACGGGTTAGGACAAACTGAAGCAAATCATCAACACCGTTTGAACTTTAAGCAGCTGTTTGCCATGAGCAGCTGGTTAGCACAGAACAAACAGCACCTCCACAACTCTAACGTGGTACAGTAGTCCCTCAGTACTTCTCAGTTCCACTTTTACGGACTCGCTTTTTCAAAGTAAAATTGGACACGAGAAAAAAAATAAATTGCACACGACCGACGATTGTCAACTTTAATATTACTCATGTGATTGGGTCAGTACAGGACACGGTAAAAAGTTAACGGAAAACAAAAAATACTTCAGACAGGCGCCGCCATTTTGTAGTTTTCTCTCAATAAGCCTACACTGTATCGCCAGTCAAAAGGACTACATTACCCAGAAAGCAACAGTGCTTCCAGCTGTTGCCTTTTGCTGAAATGAGGGGAAGTTTTGATCCAATCCAAAAAAGTTTGGTCCTTATTCATAGTGACTTTGGTGCTCAGTGGAGAGCTGTACGGGACCGACCGGGGATTGGACCAGAACCGGACCTCCAGCCTCATCGGTCAATCCGAGTGCTGCTAGCAGGCCCAGGAGGCCTCTCGAGCGTGGAAGCGTTTCTTGGAGGTCCGGTGTTTTCTCTCGAGTTCACCGGAACTTCTTTCATCTGGATTTGGGCTCGATGAGGACCATCGTGTGGTTTAGTGCTGGATATCTGAAGGTCCGACTCTCTCTGAAAGGGTCTTGGTGCTCAACGGGGCTTAAAATTACGAAGGCTTAAGAGTTTAGAACATCGTGGGCTTCGTCGCTGCAGGGTAGGTGTGCAGAACCAGAACCAACCTGGTGTTCTGCAGAGCTGGCGAGTCAAATTTTGCAGTACATGCAACATACACATGTTAATATTACGTAGGTTTAAGATTTTGAACTTTGCAAGAGTGTGAGAAGTGTTTATAAAGCCTTAAAATATATACATACTAAAATAAATATAGCATTCCTACTTTGCGGTTTTCCCACTTAACACCAAGGGGGGGGAGGCGCAGTGTACAGAAACCCTGCGATAAACGAGGGACTACTATAGCACGCCATGAAAAAAGCAATTAGTAGAAAACCTGCGATGTCAAATTAACTTTTTTCATTTCTTAAATTACTCCGTTCACTTTAAAACAATGAGGCTGATTAGTTCCCTGCAGCTTTCAGATCATGTTTTGGATTCACTTCCTGGTTTAGTTTACCGTCAATGATCTTCATATTAAAGTAAAGAGGAAGGGCAAAGTGCAGAAGTTGTTATTAGAAGCAACGTTACAGCAACTTCTTGGCTGCACACGGTAACGTGCAGAGCTGTGGCTTTGCTGGTGTGCTACTCACCGTTTGGAGGGTCTGGAAGAGGCAGTAGAAGAATATGTACCAGATGACTTTGCCATGCTCAAAGGGAGGAACGTACCAGATGAGGAAGTAGGAGAGAACAGCCAGAGGGGTTGAGAACAAGATCCTACAGAGATAAACAAATGGTGGTTGTAATCAAGCAGAAAACAAAAGCTCTGGTGCGTTCAGTTTGTGTCAGCGTTTCCTGTTTGACTTCACTTTTAGTCCGTCTTCTAAGAAGTAACAACGAAAGGAACGTTCATCGTGTTCTGTCCTTTCAAAAGGTGGAGTTTTAACTAAGACCTGACCCGACTGGTTCTTAACGTCGTCAAAAGAACGTGGAATTTCATCATTTTACATCGTTCAGACGGATGACTGCATTTCTTGTTACATCCTGGACGTGACAAGAAAAACGTTTTCGAGTGTGTAAGATCCTGGAAATCCACGTCACAAAATAAAAAGAAAAAGGGTGGAGCTGTTTTGGTCACTCCCTCCATTTCATGAACCTGTTCCTGTTCTGTGGAAGAGGAGGCCTACAACTCAACCAGCTCTCTACACGAGCAGCTGGAGCCGACAGGCTGTGAAGTCATGCACGTCTCCACGGTCACGAGGATGTTAAGAGTTTTTTCATAGAGGTGCTGGCTCGAATCCAGAGCCCTCTGCCTCATTCCAGACTCTGCTAATCAACTTCAGATCTGGTCCAATGTGACGCTCAGCGGGCGTCAGAACCGTCAGAACATTAACCGTGCTGCGTTGTCATTAACTGTTTTGATAGTTATCTTGGAATGTTTTTTAAATTTTATTTCAAACAAGCCTACTAACAAATATTAACCCAGTTAAAAACCGTGTCCTTTCAGAACTGCATGGGGGTAAAGATGCAGTACATACAGTACTAACCTGAAGACACTACAACTACAAGGTACACATACCTTTACTTCAGAAAAATACCTTAAGTTACTGTTCTTAATCTGGCATCTACTGACCAAGTTTTGTTTTGGGTCTAAAACGGTAGTTCTCAAACTGGGGTCCCCGGACCCCCAGGGGTCCGCGAGCCGGTGCTTGGGGGTCCGCAAAAAAACAACAACAAAAAAAAAAACCTTATATTATGATTATTTTAAACAGGTTTAACAACCCGTTAAAATACACCCAAATCAGGAAATCGTATCTACTTTATTCAAGTTTTGTGGGGGAGGACCCCCAGAGACACCCCGCCCCCCCCCACACACTAGTTGTGTTCCAGCATCGATTAGTTTGTAAATGAAGCCCCGTTACTTTGTATACTGCCGTTATGATTCTGTTCAGTTTTATGTGAAGTTTTCTGTAATGATTTGAAGAAGTGACAATACATTTATGTTCGTTAAGTGTAAAGTTTTAAAGTGGTTTTTGATGCCGTTAATTCTTTCAAAATTGTAATTTTTGGAAGTTGAAATTAATAATTTTGTTAAATAAGTGTCTTGAATGAAAAATACTATGCGTTTCAAAAAGTCTAAATATTGTATTAACACCATTAAAGAACAGGTCTCAAGTATTTATGCTACACGAATATTTCCACTGCATTAAAGAGACAAAGTGAAGAAACTTATTTAATAAACATGAGGGTTACGAGGGGGTCCCTGAACTCAAAATGTTTGAGAACTCCTGGTCTAAAACATAAGATTAGAGAACTTTCCAACAAGTTTCAGTCAGGTCATCTGGACAGTTTCTATTTTTGCTGAAACATTTCACCTTCCATCCAGAAGGCTTCATCAGTCAAGGAAACAACACAAAACTGATTCTTCCCCCAACAGCTTACTCCAAAGTGGAACAAACCAGTTACGTTGGTGCTAAGATGGTCTCTTTGGCACGCCCTCTCCTCCGATGCTGGTCCTCTTCCTCGTTGACAGTCCTGTCAAACTGGTTCAAAACCAAACGTTTCAGCAGAAGAAGAAACTGTCCAGACGACCTGACTGAAAATTGTTGGATTGTATATCTGGATTATTGAGCATGGACTTTTTTGATTAGAGAACTTTATTGATCCTGCAGGAAATTGTTGTGCCAGAGTTTCAGTACAAAGGAACATACACAAGGAATCACACGAGATATAAAAATAAATAAAAATAACAGATTAAAAAATATATATATAAAAACAACAAAAAAAAAGGTTAAATCATGTCATCTGGACCACTTTTTTTGAGGGAATATTAAAGGGATTATTAAAAATACTAACAATTAAAAGGTCTAAAAGCAACATGGAAAGGTTTATTTTTTTTACATCAGTCTTGGGTATGTGAGGTAAAAGAAGTTGTCCTAATATTCTGTATCTGAATTATTAACTTGTTGATTTTATGCCTTGAAAATAGAGGAAACTCTTTCAAGATTAGCCTGATTAGCATACATTTTGTAAACATCAATCCTAACCAGGTCATGCTGAAAACACCCGCTTCATTCTTCTGCACTGGCTTCAATAGAAAGACAGAAGCCCAGTGTTTATTATTGAAACAACAGAAAGCCTCATGTCTGCCGTGCGTCTCCCTGAGCCAGAGAAGTCTGAACTGAGGTAACCTCTGGATTCCTCAGACATCATTTAGAAGACCTGCGGAGCTCAGAGCTGACACGCCATTGGTCAGAAGAGGTGGTGTGTTGCCGGTCGGCCAATGAGAGGCTCGCCCGACTCCGCCGCCCCGCCCCCACAGCTTTTACAATGGAGGGCTCGCCCGCTTCCTGCCGCTCTCATCAGTACATCTGAGCCGACAGTAATGCAAGAGAGCATACCAACCATTCCTCTGCAGCCCCCACGCCCCATCTGATGACAAAATGGAGCAGATACGACTCGCTCTGCACATGCAGCATCCTGCTTGACCCAGTTCAGAGCCTCATCCGGAAACAGATGAAAGACGACTACAGTGATCAGCAAAACAAAATACAGAGAGTAAGCCCGAAACGATTTCTGGGAGTGAAATCGTTGATTTAAATTGATTCGTGTGGACTCCCAAACTTCCTCTTAGGAGCTGCTAATCACCACCTGGACCCCACTGTGCAGGAAATTAATGAAAGCCCTCAGCCCCGAGGGAGAATTAAGGATGAGAAGCAGAGGATCACAGAGGAATCACGGCTCGGATCGTTTCACAAGCAACACCCAGAGCGGGATCTCCCGTTCAGCACTTATTTATAAAAACGTCAAGACATTTAACTCGTCCTGCACCCCGTCACCTCGTCACCTCTCCCTCCACTGGCAGCTCCATGCTAATCACGGCGACAGTAAAACATGCGACGTGCTGACAGGAGACGGATGAGCTCGTCTATAACCAGAAGCTGCTCTGAAACACAACACTGCAAGTTTCTCACTTAGGACGTTTAAATTTGTCCTCTCGGATGTGGGCAAAGGGTCGCGAGGGCCTTTCTGACACGGCAGCAGCTTAAAAACTGTACAATTAGTCAGAGAGCAAACCGTGATAAACCCATTTATGAACCCATGCGAGAGGTGCTGCAGTAAACCTTTTGATAAAGAACATTTCTACTGAAAGAAACAGCATCCAAGGATTTTACACTCGTTTCTTCAGAAAAGTACTGCGTGTGCTCGTGCACATTCTATACTTGTATTTATATTTATCAGCACCACACAAAAAGGCCCCTCAGTTGAAGTGCAGGGTTTTTGTAAGAAGTTTGTTTAGGCAAAGACTCGGCGTCCTGCGTCGGCCTCAAAAGTCCAGTCCGGACCGTTTCAGTTTGATGAACTTTACAGTAATGGACTCCAGCGCTCGTCTGTTGGGCAGCCATTCTGAACTAACGTTTGTGTGTGAGGAGGGGGGGGAATGATTTTACACTGAAATATATGCAACTGGAGCAACGAGGAGGTGCCAAAAATTTAATCTGATCAACTTGCTTTATAGAAACCTCTGACTTTCTAAGTCCCGTCCCTGAACACGACACGTGCAGCGCCAGAAAACTTGCACTGCAACATTCTGATGGCAAATAGTGCAGGACCCAGCAGGTGACGGACTCACAGAACTTTACCAGTGGGATCCCGAGGTGTGTGGCAGGAACTCCGTTATCTCACCCAGACATAATTAAGTTCTTTAGCGTTATTTGCATCACATGTGGCACATGAGGTGGAACAAAACTGTGCACCGTGTGCATTTACCAGGGCAGCATGCGTCCAATACGTGTCCATGGGCTTCGGGAGACCAGGAAGCCCACTGTGGGGTCCGTTACGGCGTCCCAAGCTCGGCCAGCGAACAAGATGATGGAGGCAAAGAAAGGATCCAGCTGAGGGAGAAGAAAATGAACAAACCCGTTTTTCAGTAACTTTGTCGTAAAGTGCACGAGAACAGAGAGGAGGTAAAGTACAGTCGCTGTTAAACAGCAGCAAGGAAGCAGTGAAATACAACTTTAAACTTTACAGCTTAAAAGTCACCAGACAAAAGGCAGCTCTTGGCAAGAATCAAGCCAAACGGAGGAGGTGCCACTTGGCAGCATGCCTGATGGTAATGTGCACCGAGGAGGCCAGCCTGACAGGAGGCCAGCCTGACAGGAGGCCAGCCTGACAGGACGCCAGCCTGACAGGACGCCAGGCACAATGAATGTCCGACTCCTGACTGTACAATCGGCACCACGCTGTGTCAGCCAACAGGCCGGTAATGAACCGCACCAGAGGTCGAACAAAACCAAACTCTGCGACGCCTTTGATTTGTTGTGGCCCCGGTCATCGGATTACCGTCGGAGCCAATTAAAGCGAGACCCTCCTCATTGTGCTGCCTCCCAAATATTTATAGAACGAGCCTCGTTAAGCCTGTAGATACAGCAGGGTCTTATCAGTGAGTCAATAATGCAAGCAGGAGAGAAATGTTTTCCATCACTTCAGTTTTCCACAACACTGGCCCACCACCCCTTCCACCTTTGGTGATGCTCAGTGTCCTGGATGTGTCCTTTGATGCAGAGAGTTAAAGGAACGGTATGAACCACTCAGCTCCTTGCCTTGAAGTCTGCAAGTACCAACTGGACCCCTCAGGAGAAGCAGTTCTACTTGTGCTTTATGTTCCCACTCCAAGGATGCTGGTCATTTAAAGTTTTTATTTTTTATTTTGGGGGGGATGGGGGTGTATTTAGCCATGAACGTGATTGCAAACAGGTGTGGTTATGAAGACTTTAGGTGACTCACCTGAGCTACGTCAAGTAGATAGAGCTGCAGAAAGAAGCCCAGGGCACATCCTGTGATCTGATAGGGTGCGCCGCCGATTGCGTAGCATAGCTTGTTACAAACCGTCAACCTGTGCTCATGCTGGGGAGAAAAAACAGGAAATAAAACAAAGAAATCGGATCAACCAGTGAAACAACAACCACTAAATAAAACACCGGCTTTAGATATTGAACTCTCGTGCAGGAAACGGCTTCTGGACAACGTGTCCATTAGGAGTTTTTGAAGCCACCAGCAAACACTTTTAAAAGCTTTAGCAGGGTCAGACATGCTGAGTTGATGACACCACCTTCACCCTTACAGTGACTCACAATTCTATTCCAGAAGGCATACCCCCTAATTTTATCTCAACTCTTTAATCTTCAGTCTCACCCCACTCTAACCAGTAGTCAGATTAGAACTCTATAAAAGGTTGCAAAAGCCTGAATAGGAATTGGTCCAACATTCTTATAGCCAAGTCTTAGCAGTGTTCCAGCTGGCATAAACTGTCTGTAACCCACGTGTACGTGTATTTGAAACAAGAAAGCCTTGGTTCTCCAACAAGCACTGATTCTTCCCCCATTTACCCTCGCTGTCACTGTAGTTATTCCCTCAACCTTCACACTATAAACAGCTGATCTAATGGCAACACAGATCCTGCGTTCATTAGTGCCAGGGCGTGACAACATCACGCCATCACTCGCACCAAACGCTGCGCGGTCGACAGCAACTTGGCAGCAGCCCGAGTTGACTTAATGCCCTGAAGGGACGACCGCCAGTTCGAGCTCTGCGCTGACCGCGTAAAGAAAGGTGATCACACCCTTTATCAACAGTCATGGCACTGTGATCCACACTGCCTCAGATGTCCTTAACTTAACAGGTCAGGCACTGAATTTAAAACACGCCTACTGTTTGAAGCACTATATCAGTTTATGAAAATGTCCTTAACCCACAGGCGCACGAGATGACTCCTGCTGGACGTGTAAAAAAAAAGAAGTCACCTTAAATAAAGCCACTATGGCTACAACGGAGTAAAGCAGCCCATCTTGTTGATGCAACTCACTACTGTGTTGCTGTAATAAGAGCATCAACGTGACATCGAAAGGGAAACTTGCAAACGCCATAACTGCTACTTTAGCAGCCATTACGCTCGACAAGCATGCAGTTTTATTTTTACTTACACATTTCTTCTGCACCCATTCCACAAGTGTGCAGAAGGTGCATATTTCAGCTGCTTCCTGGTTCCAAAAACACACATCTGCTTTGTTCTGATAGGGATGTGACAGTAGTGAGTCACCTTTAAAGCACATTCATGATTTAAAAAAATAAATAAATCTATTAGGCTATGCATTAAATAATAATTCTGTCATTGTAACTCACAGCGTGAGAAACTAAATGACCCACACACAGTCTGTACCACTAATTCTCCTATCAGTTCACAGACTTCCACATATAGTCCATGTAACTGTTATCAGTCATATGGTACTACTGTAAACTGATAAGATGAATAACAAAACAAAGAGTTCTGATCCTCTCCTGAGTCACTGAAGAGTAGAATCTGTCAGGTGATTATTTTGTTTGGGAGTTTACAGGATGTCCATCTTATCTGACACGTCACCCTGCATTGGAGCTTCCTGTTGCATTCCCGTACCATCGGAAATATGGACATTTTTTCCAAAACGGCTTTCGATCGCGTGAAAATGTGGTGACGAAAGAGGAAACGTGTAGTTTTGTCACACTTTTTTTTTTTTTTTACTTGGTAATGAGCTTGCCCTCCCCCGAAACTCCTGAACTAGACACAACACGTAGCATATTTTGACATCTGTTTGGTTTGAGCCGGTTTGATTGGAAACAAACACACGTGACTGTACAGTAAGTTCTCAAATGTCGGGTCCTCAGATGAGTCCTTAAACGCAACAGTACCTAATTAGAGTAAAAAAAAATTCACGCACGAGCTCATTTGAAGGATGGTTACATTTTTCAAATTACTCGACGGAGCTCCACTACAAACTCATCGTTTCAGTGAATGAATTTAATGAAATTCATGTAATAATTTTAAGAACGAACACATTTATGCTAATCATGAATTTTGAGCTACGCCAACACAATGCGAGGAATAAGAAGAAGAAGAAAGGACGGGGCTCACGGGAGCTCGGATAAAATGGATGTATTGAATTAAATTATTAATAATTCTTTCAGCGCATCATTTGATTTAATTTGCCTTAGCTTAGGGTTCATATTAAAAGACACCCGCGGTTCCGCCGACGTGAGGAAGTTTAAAAATAAAAGTCTGGCGCCCTAAATGAAGCTAACGCCTCAGCGTCAGCTCACCGGTGTGCTCCATTCATTCAGAACGGCCAGACTCCCACAAGAACCGGGTTTTTCCTGCTCCTTCTGGGGCGCAAACACACAAAGAGGAGTATCTAAAGACAAAATATTACATTTCCAGTCAACTCACCTTTCTTGCTAGCTTGAATCCATCCGAGCTGACGGATTTATTCAACAAACTGGCGTTGGAGTATTGCTCGGCTCCTTCTCCCTTTGCCATAGCAGAACAGTTAAGTGCCTTAATTGGTTCGAGCTGGCTCCAAATCAAACTCGCATGCACAGAAATGTAATCTGAAACAGGTTTCCCGATAAGGTCAGAGCAATCAGGCACTGTACTTTCCTCTCACTAAGCAGGCTGTTTGAAAACTGAGAGGAGGCGAGGCGGGTTGTAGTAATTTTTAGAGCCCCCTCCCGCCTGCCCCGCCCCTTTAAGAAACGTGCCGTTCACACCATGTTAAGCCCCGCCCCCCCGCCGGATGACTTGCTGCTTCTCCTGATAAGACTCGATCGTTTCGGGAGTACTTGATCGTTTCCGCAGAAATTCAGCGTTACTCAAGTTACTCTGTTCAAGATTACGTTCGAGATGACATCAGTGTTGCATGTAAACAACATGTGCTAGGAGGGACTAGGGTTGGGTTGTGACAGCTGTTAAGGATTTTTGTTTTGTTTTCAATATTTTTATTATCTCCTTTTAACAAGGCCGCCTTAGCCTGCTCGTGAGGCCCCAGGTCGAAACCGTTTTGTAACCCTAACCGAGACAGATTCGGACTGCGCGCGCTCCTTCTGTTCAAAATGCACAACACATTTCTCCCAGTTGACACATGAAGCACCTGCTGTTTGATGCTTTTACAGCTGGAGTTAAAAAAAAAACGCTGCACATGGTCTCCAGCAGGGGTGATTCTAGAGTCTGACCTTTAGGGGCCCTTAGCCCCCAGTGCTGCCAATGACTCTTGTAGTTGCATTTTTTTAATTTGTAAATCTCAGGACCATTGTAGTCTTGGCTTGAACAACACAGGGACCATTGGCATCTGAAGCATTTGTAATGTGTGTGTGTGTGTGTGTGTGTGTGTGTGTGTGTGTGTGTGTGT